ACAGTAACAATACTCAATACTCAAAAAGATAATCACTACTAAACAGTAAACATAACACGAAAAACTAATCCGATTACACTAAAAAGTAGAATAACTACACAAACCAGACCGAGAAATTTCAACTCGCCTGGAACAAGAAAAAGGGATCTCGAGAGAGGACTGGAGATTAGAATCCAATTTCTTAAGCCCTCTCAGCATAAACCCTAAATTGATTGAACAAATTGAATGCTATGGCCACCGGCACTCCCCACCTGTCGGCCAGATGGACGGCGAGGATCAGAGCCCAATTATCCTTGAGCCGTTGATCCCTGAACATCCAGTACACTACGGTGGCCAGGAGGTTCTGCACCGCGCCTTGCTTGACGACTCGGATTCTTCTCAGATGAACGGCAGGGATCGAGGAGCACATCGTCGGGTGTAACCGCCGGGCTAATGTTCGCCGGAATGTGGGAGAGCGATTTGGAGGGGCGGTTGTTTTGGAGAATCACCTTACGTGTCCACTTTAAAATCCACTCTGGTTTTGACGACTTTTTGCGCCGTTATGTAAACGGCCTTTAACGATAGCCACTAGAACGGCCGTTAAAGTACGCGCGCTTATTCTATTCTCGTTAGGAGAAAAAAAAATATAAATACAAAACAAACAAAAAGAACATGTTAGAAAAAATATGAACATGCTACCAGTTTTTGAGAAGTTCCTATATTAACTATATACCAATACTGTTTTACAAACAGTTAATCTGTTCCATCCAAGCAATCAAAACAACTCATACAATCTAATAAATAACAATCACTAATTACTCAATAAGTCTTATATAATTAAATTCAAAGATAGTAATAGGAATCTATATTTTATACAAAACACTACTACATCAATAACTATTATAAATAAAAAACACAAAAATAGCAAATAAAATCATAAACATATAAAAATAGCAAATAAAATTCTAAACATAGTTGGGATTGAATTACGACTAATTTGTAGCTAAGAATCCAGAGGTTAAATGGCAAGCTTTGTCGTATAAAATATGAACTTGGGAGTTGATGAAAACAAAAATAAATGAGAGGTAATAGGCTAGAGAGAGCACTTTTTTTTTCATTTTTTTCAGTTTTTTTTTCTTTTTTTATTTTAGAGTCTTTTGATTTAATTTTTATTTTTTGTGACGTTCACTATCATATTTATATTGTATATTACAGAGTTTGAAATTATTTATATTATATATATTGTATATTACAGTTTGAAATTATTTATATTATATATTGGAGAATACTTGAAAGAGTATAATTATCTAACCATTTAAACAACTACCATTTTCACTTGAATGTTGTTTGGTATTCTATCTCTTTTTTTTTTTACTTGATGACTGTTAATCTACAATGACAAAATCAACTTTGCAATAAAGTTTTTAGCCTAATATAACATATATAAATATTTATTTTTATTAAAAATGTACGACAAGTCTATCATATTAACGGTTAGTTCCACAATAATTTATGATGCTTGATAACTGTGGAGAGCTTTACTTTTTCCCTTGGTTGGGTGGCTGGCCGGACTTGAGCCTCTTGACATTTCTATTTTAAACAAGTCAAACATCACTTCAATCATATGATTAAGGTCATATTTGGTAAACTTAGTTGATAAGTTAGTTTATAACTAATAAATTAGCTTATAGATTTTAAGTGAATTTCAAGTCTGATAACTTATGACTTATGTCTGAAAAGCTAGCTTATATGATAAAAATATTTGGTAAAATTAGCTGATAAACTAGCTCAAAATAAAAATTTCAATGAACTTATTTGAAAAGCTACACAAGTAAGTTTATGAGATAAACTCGAGCTTTTTAAAAAAATTTGTCTTACCAAACCACGCTTATTTGAATACATAAATCTTATAAGTTAATCAAATAAACTCTATAAGCTAGTTTATATGCTTAACAAACACAACCTAAACGATAAATTACTCCATTATAACCATGACAAATGCTATGTACACTCCATAGATTATATGTTGTAATGGGAAGATTAACCGTTGTTTTGTAATTTTGTAAAGAGAAAGAAAGCTTACTTACTTTATACTATTTTCACCCACAATTAATATTATGAGTAGATTACAGAATATAACACTCGGGTATTACTTTGTTGGGGGTCTTGTTTAGTTTTGTTGGTGTAGTTGGTTTAGTGTGGTTGTGTTTTTGTTGTTTTCGTGCGTGTTGCCCGAGTATTACCCCGTTAGGGTCGGCTCTAGGCGATCTCTGGATCTGCCTCCCAGTTTTCTAGTCTTTGGTTGTACTATTCAGCCCTTGGCTGCTTTTTCTTCGCACTTTGTGCGGTTTAATATAGTACCTCTATCGTTTTGGCAAAAAAAAAAACTGCGCCAAATTTAAAATCCACCTACCATGTTTATTTAAGCATACTTTATAGCATTGGGAGTGGAGAAAAGATATTATATTATTCACAAAAAGGATAGATTGTCTCCTATATTCATCAATCATCATTGTACACCCTTTATCTTTAACTTTACCATATTAAAAGTGGGGTGTAATGAAGCATAAGTATTGTAGTAAAATTGTACAATCTCTGGAAAAAAAAAATATTACCCACCACTTTTTTATCTTTATTTGTATCATAAAATTTTGTGTGAGTCGGACTAACTGTTAAACGAGTCGTTCGGTCATATTTTTTAATAAATAATAATATACATACTTATATTATGAATGTAATACTTCTAAGTATATTTTTATTAAGATATGACATTAAAATTTGAAAATATGCACATTTATTGAAAAAATATGATCGTATAACCATTAGGTTTGCTCAATATTATCTTTAATGCAGATCTTCTGTTATGTCGGTATTACATTAAGCCACCATACTTTTTTCACAAATACACATATTTTCATGGAAAAATCTCATTTTTTAAAAAATAATATAAACATAAATATAACATTTGATAATATAAATATGTATTTTAATTCACGAACATATGTCTAAGTTGTGTGAGAGTATAATTTGCAGTAGGTGAGTAGTCAATATTATCACCTTTTGATTTTTCCAAAAATTTCTACTGTTTTTTGGCAACTTATGTAACTAATGCTTGTCGACAAGAATTTATGTTTGTCCACTAAATGAGTAATTAGATAGCATAAAGCCAAAGGAATAATAATAATATTACTACTTGATTTTGTTTATACTTTTCTACTCTCTCACCTTACTATATAGGTAACCACTGATTGATTTTTCGCTCTGTTTTCAACTTCACCTATTAGTGAATGACGAGTCTGATGAGATCCATCATTGAGGCAAATGGGTGCGGATTGAGAAATTCAAAAAAAAAAAAGAAAGAGATAATAGATCAAATTTATATTAGCAAACATATGAAAATGACAAAGCTAGATAATGTTTTTTTAAATTTTGATAAATTTGCACGCACGAGACGATTATCGACTTATCAGGGGCATAATAAGATATTCTATTTGTCACATGTCAATTCCTCGTAATTTTTCAATTACATATTCACCATATATGATATGCTAATTTTCTGTCACATCAGTATAGTAGACATAACAACTCGTGCACATCGAAAATGATTATCTACTTATCGTGGGCATAATAAGACGCGATTATTTATTACATGTCAATATCTCGTAATCTTTCAATCATTCATTTCGTAATCTTGCATGCTTGAATAACTAAAGTTTGAACTACACACACGTTTCTTTTCGTTTGAATGAATTTGACCTAAATCACCATATTATTCAAAGCACTATTTGATGTGGAAATACTTAAACTACATGGGAAAATACCTACAATCTGAAACCTTCACCACATCAAGCTACCAAAACAACCATTGTCAGCAGTAGTGCTGATCAAGCTAAGCTTTCTGCAGTAAAGAAAATCACAAATCATAGTAATAATTATTAGACTCTAGAACTCATCCATGAAGAAACAGAGGGTAGAAGATTCACATGAAGTCAATGTGAAAAGGCTTTTCAAACCACTTTTACCAACTTAAAAACACCTAGCACAAAGATAATTACTGTAACAACAAGATAAAAACTAGACATAGATACCATTAATTACCCCGGTCGCGGTTAATTCATCATTGCAATCAATCACAATCGACCATCTCTCAATGCCGAAACCCTACTTCAACTTCCGGGCCCTCTATCGACTTTTTTTCTCGACAAAGATGGGTAGCATCATTCGACGACTGTGCATGTATATCATTGCAAGCTATATGAGGTGTTTAAAAGGAGAAGGGATCCCTTTTCTTTTCCCTTCCCTTTTTTTACTCTCTTTTTCCTCAAGTTATTTTGTTCAAATTCAATGGTGGGGCTCCACCATGGTCATTTTTGGTGACCCTTTTGAGTCATACATAGAACCATCAACTGTTTTCTGGGAGAAAAACTGAGTAGCCTTTTTGAATTTAAAGATTCTTGTTATATTATGACTTCATTCCATGAAGTCATATCATAACGACTAAAGAATCTTGACGATGGGTATTTAGACGCTCAATGAAAAGAAATCAACTTTCAGTAAGGCCAACAGTGGATTAGCATTTGCTTAGGCCTGATTTTTAGTAAAAGACTCATTCTAGAAAATGCATTGAAGTTCTGTTTCTGCATATGCAACTTTCGTCAAACACGCGTGCACCAATTAACTGTCTGAACTAATCACTATCTCCATATACTGCAGATCAAGAGAGGAGAGCTTAACAGAGACAAACTAGTCAAATCACCAAAAAAAAATAGATAAAAAACTATAGCAGAACAATCAAATGGAAAAAGACTGCAAAAAATCATCATACTGCAATATAGCCATCAAACTCATCATATATAAAGATTCTGCTACCCCTGAAAGTCTGAACCCTTTCAAGATCAAATCAAACAAATACTACAGCCCTCAAAATTAAATAACTGCATACAAAATTAATCTACATTTCGAAA